TATGTATGGATTGTGATAAGAATTGTACGAGCCCCCAATAAAATAATTTTTTTTTAAATTTACAGTCTACTTTGATAAATAGTAACTGAGATCTTGAAAGCTCATGAGCAGCCATCTAAGGTGCAATTATTGGTCTCTTCCTGACTGAGAGAAAGAAGATGATGAAAATCAAAGACGCATGGAAGCAATTAGTCCAACGGACTAATCGACCATGCAGGCATCGGTCTCCATGACCTTGAGGTCTGGCTGCAGCAACCACTGTGTTCTGAACAGGATCACATCAGGAAATCCTAGATAGAGTGGAAGACAAATTGGAACAAAGTTAAAAAAATAATAAAAACCACTCAAGCTTACTGGTCAGATAGGGACCAGAGACCCTCCTAGACAATGGCCCTTAGTCATCCTGCAGGTCTGGAATTGAGCTTACCCCCAAGACTTAATTTCCAGCCAAACAATGCCGGTCTACAAGTGGAAAAGAAGGCACAGCTTAGACTAGTCAATCCTTTGAGATCAAAAGGGCAGCATTTACCCAAGGACAGAGTTCATAAGGGTTAGAAAAGGAGGAGGAGTGGAGCCAGGAGACACAGGGAGGCAGTGGGCTAAGTGGTTTTCCATTGTGGGGTCTGCAACAATGACATGAAGCAAACGGTGTAAGGATTGTTGAGTAGAAGACTGATCTGCTCTGTAAATCTTAACCCAGTTGACAACAAAAATGTAAGGAGAGTGTATAGATATAGATGAAGATATATCAAGAAACCATAGCTTTTTATTTTGATATTTTTGTTTACTAAAGGTTTTTTTTACATTATTGTTCAATAAAGGTTTTTATATTTCTTAACTTACTCTTGTATCTTGATAAACATTTAGAATGAGTATCTTCTATATAAAATAAGAATTTTGTTTTTCTTTTTTTTTTTTTTAATAAGAATTTTCTTTATAGAGGTTTGTAGAAATTTCCTAGAGGAAAGTTAGAAAATAACAACCCCAAACACTGGAGAACAATAAAACTCTAAATTTCTAAGCGGTTTTATTTGTCACACTTGGTTTTGGGGTGTCACAGGTGCTGCCCTTCCCAAAATGAGAGGAATAAGGTGGAATGCTAGACAAAAATATGAAGAAGAAAATATGCCATCCACAATCCACTACCTAGAAATAACTGGGATTAACAATTTTGGGGATATTCATAAGGGATATTTCTCTATGGAGGTCTGCCGCTAGGTGAATGAATGGAAAGCTAGATAACACACAAATAACTTGAAAAGAATGAGAGCAGGCTTTCTACTTGTTCTTTTAAAAGAAAGATACTGTTAATTGGTGGCATTGCACTGTACATGTAGAAATTGTTGCATTGGCACATGTTTCGGTGTATGCCTTTTCACCACAGCTAAAATTTATTTTCAGATGAAGAATATTAAACCTAAGAAAAATTGGAATTTTAGAATATTGCTCTCTTCTGAATTCAAATCATCCCTATTGGCTGACGTGTGTGTGTGTGTGTGTGTGTGTGTGTGTGTGTGTGTGTGTGTGTGTGTGTGTTGCAGATGAATGGCATTGATATTCTGGAACCTCAATAAGGTCTTATAAAAAAAATAATTAGGTCTTATCCTCAAACTTAGTTAAAAGACTGCCTTATAAATGGAGTTAGGAGACATGAGTTTTCATCTCATTTCTACTTCTTATTTGCTGTGGACCTTACTAATATTATAGTTTTTGTTCTCCAATTTCTTCTGTGTACTCCAAAATGACATTGTCATGAATAATATCCAAAAGGAACTACTTCATGCTAAATCACTTTCAAAAGCATATATGCCTCTGAGGTTCCCCCAGATTCTCTTGTAACTGTGGTGTGCTTCTAGCAGACATTAGCTAAATGTTTCCAGAGATTTGTTAACTGATATTGTGAGAAGAATGTCCGTAGATGTCCTGTAATTCACCCAAAAGTGCAAACTAAAACCATTCTTATAAGAACAAGCCTAACTAATCAGGCATAGCTTTTAAAAATGGATTTTCCAATATAAAAACAAAAACACAAACAGCAAAAGACAGACTAAATGAACAGGAAAAAAATCAGAATAAATGAATAGCAAAAGACAGAATAAATGAACAAAAGACAGAATAAATTAAAAACACTTTGTTGTTTTTGTTGTTCATCAAAAGACTACCGAAAACAAAGAAAAAGTGAAAAGACAAACTCCAACTGGAGGACACTACTCACCTGGCAAGAATCTAACCAACCAAGATATACATAAAACGACAGCTTACCAGCAGAAAGACAAATAACAAAATAATAAAATGGACAAAACGCTTGAATAGACATTTCCCCAAAGAGGTCAATCAAATGGCCACTGAACACTGGACATCTGCTCAGTGTCATGAGGCATCCCAGAGGCAAATCCAAACGAGTGAGATGCCAGGGCACTCCCGGCGGGATGGCTAAGATGAAAAGAGCAAGACAAAGCAAACACAATTGAGTAGCTGCTGAGGATGTGGTGCAGATGCCCAGCGGTTTGGCTCTTGTGGAAAGCAGTGTGGTGGGTCCTCAGAAAACTGAAAATAGAACTACCAAATGATGGAGCCACTCCGTTTCTAGGTATAGCAAACCTGCGAAAGCAGAGCCTCACAAAGAGACTGTACACCAATGTACACAAGCACTGGTCACCAAAGTTAGAGGGGAAAGCAAACTCCATGCCCACCAACAGACGAATGGCTAAGAGAAGTGTGGCACAGACAGACAGCCAGACCCCTACTCAACTAGGAGAAATGAAGTACTCGTTCGTGCAGCAGGAAGAATGGATCTTAAAGACATTATGCTGAATGAAATAAGCCGACTACGGAAAGACAAGTATTGCGTGATCTCACAGAAAAAGACAAGCAAAGGCAAATAGAGAAACAAACGTTTATTAGTGGTTACCAGTGGCGGAAGAATGATGATGGGAAAATCACTGTGATAAAGGGTAAGGTGGCACAGCTGATCATTGCACAATGACTGTCCATGAGTTGGACAGCTGTAAAAAAGTAGATGAGCAAAAGTTGAATGATAGATAGATTTACAACAAGGACTTTTAAAAAGGTGTTAATGCGGTGGTGGTTTATGTGCAACCAGGCACCTCGTGATTTGGTCCCTCAATTGGGAACTGCAGGGATGTGGTTTCATGGGCTACCCATCGACTGCCTCCTAGTTCATTGGCCTGATAATTAAGTCCCAGCCATTAACAAGCCAGAATTTTAGTTCTTCAGGAATCTTTACTGGACTTCAACTCTGCTCACGACTGTGTCCTCTTTGTCAACAGCTGGATGTAGTGGCCCTTTCTTTCCCGAGGAAGCTGTCTCGCTGGGACTGCCAGCCATCCCCACTGCCAGACGTCTTCTGCTCGCTCTTGGTTTTCACGCGTGTCTGAAGAGCTTGGGAGTGGCCGTGACAGGCGCAACAAGTGGCGTCTTCTCATCTGGAACAACAGGAAAAGGGCAGTCAAAAATGGGAGGAGAATTTGGAATGTGTGGCTAATTGTCTCCCTGAACGGCCTCCTTGGTCATAAGACCAGAAAAACGGAATGATGGCCGACTACCCTCCCTGCATTTTTCTTTATCGGCTATAGTCCCTTTTATTTTCTCTGTTGATAATCAAACCGAAAAGCCAGGCGTACATCCATTTTTTAATACGCGAGCATTTTCAAGTACATCATTTGGACACGAGAAGGACGAGGACCATGAAACACGTGTGCACAGAGACCCCCACAGGAGTGAGGGTCGGCAGTTCCACACAGATTTCCGCTGAGAGACCATTGCGTAATTGCTGGCACTAAACAGGGCGGTAGAATTCCTTGCCAGGAACCTTAGTAAATCATGCCGATAGTTCAGTGATCAAGCAAGACTCTTCTCCTCCAGGGGTGTATAGGCCGCATCGCTCCCATTCACAGGCATAGTGGGGCTCCATCCACCCAGGACTTGGGCGCATCTGGCTGATCAGTGAGAATTTCAGCATACTGAGGCCTCCCATGCCCAACATGACGTTGAAGGGCTCTTTTCTCCCTGCCACAGCCTCGTTAACAGCAGATTCCTTTTTATCTGTGTTTCCTGGAATCCTCTAGAATGGAATCCACATGCTTGGAAGGAATATAAAAGAGCTGGTTTTATCTAGTAATTAAGTCCTAGTCCTCATCAAGGCGGGGTTTTAGTTTTTCGGGAATCTTGACTTTGACTTCAACTCTGGCCGTGAAAGTTTCCTCCTTTGTAGCACTTAGAACTACTTGGGCCCTTTTCATCCCAGGGGGCTGAAGTGTCCTGCTGGAGCTGCCCGCCAGCCATCTCCCCTTCCAGGTGTTCTCTGCTGATTGGTTTCCACGTCAACACGTTTCTGTCGCAGCCGGCAGCCCGTCCTCTGCCCCTCCACACCCCCACGACTGCCCCTTAACTTTCCACCCACCCGGCTCATTACTGAACATTTTTGATCCAAGATTCTACAGAAGAATCCTGATTAAAGGTGGGAAATGTAGGAGAGATTTAGAAATTCTCATCGACTCCAGACTTTGTGGACCCACGAAGGCTGGATAAACACTAGGAACTACGGTCCTGAGACCATCTTTAAACCATAAACTACAAATGTCCCCTAAAGTAACCTAAAACCAGCTTAATTAGTAAGCAATGTCCACCTTGAGCATTGTGCTCTTATAAGACCGATCGACGATCAGCACAGGGTCAAATTAACAACAGCCACTTGGAAGATTCGACAGGAACCTTCGGGGGGCAGTGAGGGAGAAAGAACCCAAAGGAACGGGAGCATGATTGCAGAATTCAGAGCTTCGTCAGCGTCGCTGAATAGTACACGTGGAAACTGGGATTCCTGTGTGCTTTGCTGTGTATCTTCTCAACAGCAACAGTAAAATAAACAAATTAGGAAGAAACTGTTCATGTAATTCTCTTTAGAAAAGGCAGAAAGCGTCTCGCACCCAGGATGGAACCGGAAGAGGGGACCCGCCCTTGTGGCGGCTGCAGAAGGTGCCGGCGGAGCTGGGCCCGCAGCTTCTTCACAAAATGATTGATGGCATGTGTGGCCGGGCTTATCCTCTCCACCAAGACTATCAGAGCGTTTGGGATTCAACAGAGTGGATTCACGTTCGAGAAGACATTACCACATTTTTCAAAGATGCCGTGGGCAAAAGTTTATCTGATGAAGAGATATCTCAGCAGTTGAATCAGTTGCATTCTTTTCATCAGGAAGCAATCCTGAAATGCTTGCGAAGCCGAAAAGATGAAATCAAGCAGGCTCTGTGGGGGGAAATCGTGGCTATTTCCTCTGCCCAGCTTCAGGACTTTGATTGGCAGCTAAAGCTTGCACTTTCCAGTGACAAGATTGCTACCTTACAGATGCCACTGTTAACCCTTCACCTGGATGTGAAGGAAAAGGGTGCAGTTACACCCTATTCTGTCGAGATGAGTAAAGAAGAGCTGCAGAGTCTCACCGAACCCTTGGAAGCGGCTAATAAGGTGGTCTTGCAGTTGAAATAAGGAGAAGTGATGACGAACAGAGCTGTTACTATTCCCTGCGCCACCTGATCTGGCGGAACGAATGCTGTGCGCTCAGAAAACCTGCAGTGTCCCGGTGCCACACTGAGAAAGATGAGATTACAAACATAAAAGGTTATTACCTTCCCCGAAGAACAGGAAATGACGTGGTTGGTAGAAAATGCATAAGAAACGAAGATGAGAAAGCTCGTAGCTGTTTATATTTTCATATTGACTATTTTGCTTCATTTATTTAATATTTGAGGAATCTTTATCGATAAACAGTTTAGTATGTAAAGCAAAAAGGCAAATTAGAATGTAATGTAAACATACAAAGCACAAATATACTTGAATGATGCTTAAAAGAAGTCTGTAAATAGCAAGGATGACATGTATTATGTAATTATTGTGGTACTTTTAAAAATAACTTTTTAAAAGAAGGCTTACACTATACATTTAACTAAGGAGATTCCATATTTTTCTCATATTTCAAAGGAAAGATGATAAAAGATCAAATTTGAGAAAGAAGCCCTTCAGATATGAGTGAGGAAAAATACTCTAAATTTGTATAACAATTCTGTGTATAAATTCTAGAAACAAACATTTTGATTAGAACATTAGTAAAAAATGAAAGGAGCAATTACTTCTGCATTTCTGTGTCTGGCCAGAAGAATGTGTTCTGGTAAAAGAGTACATGCTATCGTAGAGTGTATATATCATTATAAAATGTCAGATAA